CGTCGCGTTGGGGAAAAGGGTCGGCATAGCCACGCGGAGCTCGATGGGGTAAAGCCCGTTGTAGAACGGTTCGATGAAGATATGGGTGATGGACGGCAGAGGTACGAGGGGGACGTCTTGAGTGGGTCCGTGTTTTGATATGAATAGATGTGTTAACGAAGAAGACGCGCCTACGAGGAAGGGGACTAGGGCGAGGGGAATCTGCGTGTGCGAGAGATGTGGTAACGCAGCAAGCAGAGCGGTGAAGTCTGCTCCAGAAGGCGCCGGCCAAGTCAAAATCGACAGGTTGTGCACAGGATATGTCCCTGGCTGACGCGTCACGGTCTGTAAAAAACGCTCCCGATCGACGACGTCGGATAGGCAGACTGTGTTGTACAGCACGGGTAACATCCATTCTCGAGCCGCCCTGGACACTTGCGTAAGCGTCACAGCCGTTGCGAGTTTTTCCGGCATGGTGCTGAGCGCAGCGAGCTCGAAAATGCCGCGCAGAAGCTCTGGTGGTAGGACAGGCATGGCAGAAGCCGCGTGCCTGGACGGGTGCTGAAAACGCGATGCGGGTGCGCGTGTCGCGGGAGGAAAGGCTGGAATCGGGTTTATATGTCCGATCAGAAACTCGGAAGGAATAATTATGTGAGCCTGACTCATCACCACCAGCTCCAAGCGCTCAGCGCCGTACTGTGTCGAAAGATGATTCGACAGGATTTGGAGCTTTGAAGCTTCTTGACACTGGCGCGGGGGAGTTGGCATTCAGGAACAGGTGTAGAAAGATGCCAACGGGTATGCGGCGGACCTTGGCCGAACTGGTCGTCGTTTCTCTGGCTCCCTTATGAGGGCAGCGCTGTAGGTCGCGAAGAATATATAGATTGGAGGGCTAAGGCGCGTGCAACATGTTACATAAGCGCAATAATCGATACTGACCCGAAGGCGAGACGTGTCATGTGCACCGCGTAAGCAGATGAATAAGCGTTGGCGCTCCGAGCGTCCTCGCCCGGACAGGCGCGATCATGTCCGAGTGACATGATGTCACTCGGACATACGAAATCAGTTAGGTTTGCGCCGCGGACATTCCTGTCCTCGGTGTCTAACGTGTACACTGCGAATCTAGACTCGTCTTTATCGCGCGCGCTTGGGGCCCTATAAAAGCAATGCTGACGCCAGGGTTGCCCCCCAAGCATTTGTCCCAAACTCTCCACCTACTGCTATGGCCTTCAACCACGACACCACTGGCGACGAAGTAGTTGCCAAATTCGCAGATCGCGTCAAGGGCCGTACCTGTACGTATCTGCATATGAACCATGAACCCAAGCTCACACAAGAACGCAGTTCTGCTCACGGGTCCGACTCTCGAAGGCGTGGGCGGAGCGACACTACTCGCTCTAGCACGCGCATCGCCGAAGGCATTCATCCTCGTCGGCCGCAATCCAGTCAAGGTCCAACCTGTGATTGACGCCATCGCCGCGGTCGACCCTACGATCACCACCGTCTTCGCGCAGGCCGACTTCACCTCTCTCGCCAGCATCCGTTCAGCTGCTGAGAAGATTTTCTCCAGCCCTGCTGCGGCGACCATCGACGTTATTATCAACAATGCTGGAGTCATGGCTACGCCGTACTCGAAGACGGTAGACGGCATCGAGACGCAGCTCGCGACGAACCACATTGCGCCGTTCCTCCTCACCAACTTACTTCTCCCGCGTCTCGCGAAGAACGGTACTATCGTCAGCGTCTCCAGCAGCGCTCATAGGGCGTCGACGGGCAACTACGACGACTACAACTACGAGCACACGGAGTATGATCCCTTCCGCGCGTACGGCCAGTCCAAGCTCGCGACCGTCATGTTCACGACTTCGCTCGTTTCCCGTGGCTATCGCGCTATCACCCTTCACCCTGGTTGTGCGTACTGTCCTTCATATGTTGACTCACTACCCCGAGACTTACTCTCTGCAGTGATCTTCTCCGGCATGCAACGCCATACGAACATGGAAGAGCTCGCTGCGAACGCGAAGAAGGCGCGAGAGGCAGACCCCGCGTATCAAGGACCCGGTGCTCCGAAGAGTCTCGCACAGGGCTGCAGCACAAGTCTCGTCGCAGCGCTCGATCCGTCCGTTCCCAACGGCGCGTACCTCTTCGACTGCCAGGTCGAGACGCCGAAAGCGGAGGGCTTGGACAAGGAGAAGGCGGAGAAGTTGTGGAAACTCAGTGAGAAGCTCGTCGGGCAGCAATTCTAAGTGATTGTATAGCAACAACGGATACAGTAACACGTGTGTAGACGCAGACTTGTAAAGACAGCAGCTTTTGTATGAACATTGACGGTGACGACAAGACGTGGAGCGAAAGTTGAGGGAGTGAATAATGATAAGCACACACACACACGACTCGGAGCGATGCGGGAAAAGATTTGGTGTACAATAACGAATGTACGAAGGAACCTCACAGAGGTTTGGCTTAGAATCGATGGCCCATGTACGGCTTGACCATTGCAGGGGCGAGGAAGGAAATGCGGTTGTGCGACCCGGCGACAGGATCGACGGGACTCGAGACGTGAACTGTCAGGTCTGGAGTACGACCAGGAAGAACTCCGAGACGGCCACGTTGGCTGGGCTGCAGCGGCGGACGGTGGCCAGGTACAACTCGCGGCCGTTCGGACGACGTGGACGAAGCACTCGTCGTGGTGCCAGTGGAACGACTTTCATTCGACTCCCTCGATGACGCGCTCGTCGAAATCGTACCGCGACTGGAGTTGGAATCGCGAGACGACGGCCGAGGACTGGCGAATGTGGACATCATGGACGCGGGAGACATCGCCTTCATGCGCGAGATGGTAGCAGCGGACAAGATGCGGCTCTTCATGGTCCGCGACGCCGGGATGGGCTGCTCGCCGATAGGAGCAGGCTTGGGTGGGAGAGCGGGAAGCGTGAGTGCAGGGGCTTTAGTAGGCTTCTTGGACTTCGATTTCGGAGGAGTGGGAGTGGGAGGAAGGGGCTTTGGCGGTTCTGGCGCTTTGCGTGGATGCGACATCGACCTGTGATCAGGCGTCGGCGGCAGCGGAAGTGGACGAATGAGTGGGTTGCCCTCCTGAGCTTTGGCAGTACGTTCCGCTTGAGCCTGGAGCAGATGCGTAGCTTGGTCCTCCGCCTGAAGAGCATCGCGGGTTGCCAGGAGACGAAGATTGGTGAACGATCGAGAGACGCGACGAAGCTTGGGCGGCATGACCATCTGCCTCACGGCCGAATCGTCGCGAGCAGCGAGAGCGGCGCCCTTCAAGGAAATGGCGCCACCAGTCGAGACATCCCTAACATGCCGCGACTGCCGCATCTTCATCTTCAGGGCGCGCTGAATATCAGAGTTATCGTCCTCCTCGAGACGGAACATCGACGGCTTGCGGGAGTGACTGATAGAGGGGCGGTCCCTCGTAGGAGGCAAGCTAGGGACAGGCGGCAACGGGGTGATGTCGAGCACCGGCTGTTCGCCGTCGGGCGACGGACGAAGGCGTGAGAGCGAGCGCGACATCCTGTGCAAAGTGCGTAACGACTTTCTCGCGTGTGCCGCGCTCGAAAAGTCATCTCGAGGCGCAGTGACTGGCGACTGCGAGCGAGACCCTGGCTGCTGCGACGGCGTAGGGGCGCGCGAGGCGTGATCGGCAGATGCAAGGCGGGGATGTGATAGGGGCGCTGATGCGTCTGTACCGGAGCGGTCACGGCGAATATGGTGGACGACAGAGAGGTCCGTCGTACTGTCATTAGCAAAGTGTGAATGGAACGGGGGTTGAAGGGAGCCGAGGGAGCGTGAGCGACGGCGAGTCTCCTTCGGCACAGATAAATCGCCGACGACAGAAGGAAAGGTTATCGGCGCTGGCGAAGGTCGTGAGATCGAGCGTGGTGGTCGCACGGGCGGTGTGGACGGTGAGCTGCCGGATGCACTGTTTGGTGTGCTGGCACTGGACGACGCGAGATTCTCCTGAGCTGGAAAGCGTGATGAAGGAGCGTTTGGTGGTAACGGAGGCAACGCGCCGCTTGGAGGAGGAAGAGCAGGTGGCAGATCGGTAACCTGGTCCTAAGTTAAGACAGCATCGATAATTCAATGCACGCATTGCATACCACATATCGGTAGCGTGTCGTCCTAGGCTGGACCTTTGTGGAAACTCTTTGAAGCGAAGGTGTCGTGGACCGCGGCGGCAGCGCAGAGCTTGAATCCATGGCGAACGTCGTGCGACCAACCAAGGTCGACGACGCGATCATGACAAGAGGCGGGGTGAAATCCAAGTGAACGCTCGTGTGTCCCTTATATGGAGCTTTGCTTGGCCCCTCTGGCTGTGCAGTTTGTCGATCGCTGATGACAGCACGGACAGATCGCACCCTATCCTGGGCCTTGAATAGACCGACATATCCCTTTACGTGGACGCCAGAGTGAGGCATGTCGAAGAGTCCAGAGTGATACCCACGAACGTGTTCGTGTTCGTCTAGTCCTCGAAGCCATGACATGTCGACAGGGAGGAACTACTGCGCAAGGCTGTAGCAAGGTTGCACGTCCACACGTGTCAAGACACGAACCAACACTTTGCAGCTTTCCGCGACGACGATCACGTCCTGTTCGGAGATGTTGCTGTACGTGTCCGGCGAATGCGCGCGACAATCAAGAGCCCAGTCTTCGCGCCGTGATGGGCCGGTATCGAAATTTATCCACTTTGCCCAACGCCCATGGTGTGTCACTGTGTGTAAAACAGAGCAGGGAGAGGCGCGCTACCGCCAGGCCTCGTCGGATGACTTCAAGTTGGGCGTAGTCGTCGACAGGTTATGTGATATGTAACAGAATGAACGATCTGGGAAGCCGCCAGCGAAGGGGACCGGTGGCGCGGTATGTTCATACGATTGCTGCTCCTAGTTAGGAATCCTGAGTGGGAAGGAGCAAGCAGGACACTAGTGGCAGGCGCATTCGGCCGAGCAGCTGAGCTTGCTGCTTTGCAACGCGCATCTTGGTATAGGTCCCATGGGGAACCTGACCAAGGATCGGTGGCGCAGTGGTAGCGCACGCGATTGCAGTGGCATAGCCAGCTTCTATCGTGTTGTCCCGTGTTCGAACCACGGTCGGTCCTGTCATTTTGCCGCTGTAGGGTTCTTAATTTCTGTGGGCCACGCTTCCATTTGTGCGTGGTCGCCGGCCCTTATTATATCAACGGAGGAAGATTGCGGGCGATGCCGACCGCTCCGCACTCCTCCCCGGTTCTTAAGGTGAGCAAGTGCCCGCAGACCGGTTACGCCATAGCCTCATCCCTCCTTGGAAGAGAATACCGCCACTCCGTTGCTTTGTCCACTGGCCAGTCTTGTTGGCGAGGGAAGCGGATACACCTTCAAGTTTTGAACAGTAAGTTCTCCCTGCACCTAAGGCTCAACCTGGGCTCGACGTGCTAGTACTGAATGAAGGGGCCGCCATAGAATCTTCTTGTGCGCGGGATTGTCTCTTGCTGGCGTCTCAGGCGACTGTCATCGTCTCTTCGTCGTTGTCGAACCTCCTCGGCCCACCGGTCCGTCAACAACCACGACCATTCACGACCACGCCCAGGCTTCAGCCATGGCAAACACCACCGCCACGCTCACCATCATTGACCTGACCGCAATTGACGTCGCCCACCTTGAGGAGTACCGCGTCTGGGTGCGCGCCATGTGCCCGCGGCGCTGAGGATGCCCTGACTGACTAAAACTTCTGGCAGGCGTTCCCTTCGGTCGTGGCCAATGAGAATCATGATCCGTACTTTCCCTTGCACGAGCCGGTCAAGTGGGTGACGGTCGACGGCTTCACACTCTTCATGAAGTATAGCAGTGGTGCGACCACTGCGGCCGGCAAGTTGCTAAAGCCGACGACTATGAGCAATGTTATCGGCTTCAAGTCTTGCGTACGTCGCACGTCTTTTTTGATCGTAATGATACTGATCTATTCCGCCTCTTCGCGTCAGATCCTCCCTCCAAACCTCCTCACGCACCCGTTCTTCGCGTTCGAGCGCAAGGACAACTGGCTGTCCGTCGTGGCGTTCGCTGCCTTCATACGCGAGAACGTTCGTTACTCCGTCTGCGTTCCAAGCATCACGGTCACCAAGCTCGCTAACGGCGTCGAGCGCGTGGTGAAGAACCCCCCGTTCATGCACTTCGTCGACCCGCGATACGTCCTCCTGGTCACCGACTCAGATTCTGACACAGAGTCTGACGACGAGAACGACTTCGACGAGATGGACATCTACGACGTTTCTGTCGATACTGCGCTGTTGCACGTTAAACGCAAGCGCGAGTAGGCGCGGCAGGTTCTTATGTTGGTCTATCTTCCTCATGTAGTACACACTTTTGGGTCCCCGTACCATGTTTATCCTGTATGTACAATGCGCTCGTGCTTTGGTCGCTATCTCGCACAAATATGATCTGCCGTTATCCTTTGCCTACTCTAGCTGGTCAGGCGAGACCGTCCCGGGCCTGAGCGCTGTCGTACGCTAGGCGGCGACCCGACGAGTGGAGAGGCCAAGTCTCGACGCTTCCGAGCCCCTCGTACAGCTCTATGCTAGTGTGAAGCAGGATGGTGTCCAGGGCTGGAGCATGCAAGTATTGGAGGAAAGCCTGTAGCGCACCGGCCCGTACGATGATGGCTTGACTCGCAGGGAATGGCGAAGCAAACCTGACAAGGCGAAGTGCGGGCAAACTTGGTCGTTCATCTTGCGGCGCGAGGAAGTGGAAGCTTTCATCCACGTAGACCGTTATCTCGAGCACGCTGGGCAGAGATGCAAAGCCCAGCGCGAGCCACTCAGCGCTCGCGAGGGCGACGCGTTCGACGCCCCGCGTCAGAGAGGCAATGACGAGACCAGCTTTCCCGCGCGCGTCCGCATTCAACAGACACGAGCGCGTATATCCGCGTGAGTCCACGAGCGTGACCTGCTGTCCGAGGATACGGATCTCGATGGGCAGCCCGTGTAAAGTGTCGCGCAGGCGCAGAACGTCCTCGTCCTGAATGGGGCACAGGAAGCGGACGTGACGAATCGCCGCGAAATCGGCGACGAGCGCGGAGAAGTTGCTGTTAGTCGTAAACTCGACGGTATGCAGCTGCGTGAAGGCGCGCAGACTGGTAAGCGGTATGAACGCCTGGGTATATGGAACAGCGTGCAACTGCAGCTCTTCAAGGTGCGGCGCGTCCCGAGCGAGAACGTCGAGCTGCATCTGGTCGAATGATCCACTAGCTCGCGTCAAGCCCGTAAGAGCCGGTGTAGGCTCAGCTATCGAAATCCGCAGGTCATCGCCCAGACTGAGCTCGCGCAAGACGCCAGGCTCAGAGCCGAAGACGTCGAAGGGAAGCTCGAGCTGTGTGTACAGTCCTGTTGCACGTAGCTCCAGTACGCGCAGCTGCGGCGCGCCGTAGCACAAACACTCGAAGAACTCGCCCACATTCTCGAGCGCCGCTGAGTCCGTAGTCGCCGTCCCTTGGAAGACCAGAAAGTGAACTCTGAGCGTCTGCATGCGATACATCTCGCCGCTGAGTAGATCTTGGACGAGTGGACAGTACGCGGGCAGGACGTTGGAGAGTTCGATCGTCAGCGGGTACGCTGCGCTGAGGGATAAGGCGTGCTCGAGCGATTCTAGGCGGAGGTAAGGGAGCGATGGTCCAGCGCCGGGTACGAGGCTGAGTTGCCAGTGCGTCCAAAGTGCTGGCTCAGAGGCGAGATTGTGCCAGAGCTTTGACACGCCCTTCGCTGAGAGCAGGTCCGTCCAATGCACAAGTCGGAAGATGCGCAGAGCAAGCTCGTGCGGGAGCCAGGAGACATGCGGATACGGGACGCCGCTACGCAGGGTGCTTCAGCGACAGCGCAGGAAGCAAAGAGGAGGGAACGTACCTGTCAACCTCCATCATTGCGTCAAGTTCTGGGGGTGGTCTGGATGGCGCATGCGCCGGTACATATACTCTGCGCAGACCACTGTCCGCTTTAGTGGCACAAAGAGGAGACAGTTGTCCAGGTGACAACGAGAGCGAGATAAGTGGCTTTGCGCATCGATGAAAGCGGTCGGCCTTGTCCAGTTCAGCGTGGGCTGGTGAATTCTTGCGTATTGTCTGGATCTGCAAAGCGGGGTGGGAAGACCGCATGCAGGATCGACGACGATAGGGATGATGATGTGTTTCGAGCGAGAGACCTCCGCACAAGCGAAGTATAGTCGCCAGGAAGAGGCTCCGTGGCTCCTTGCCCGCTGGAGCGTATCGTGTCGAAAGCTGTCACGTCGCTTTCGCTGCGTCCAAGCGTTCCACCGCCAATGAGTATATCCATGAGAGTAAGGAAGCACCGTCAACGTAGCAACGCCATTCATCGTCCGGAAAAGGCATGTGTTCCTTGACCTGGTTGGGTTGAGCGCGAAGCCGTATTGTCCGTCGATCCCGGAGTTGGCCGCGTCACTGCACCTCGTGCGCACATCCTGTCCTGGACAGAGAATAAAGCGGCAGAAAAATGTGGGTATGATGATGTATTAGTATCCGTTCCGCAATAAGTATACAGAAAAAGGCGTGCGATGAGGAGATGTGCGGGTGTCCTTGGCATTAGTGCGCGCGCGCTCGATGAAGCACGGTGTTCCCTGCTGAAGATGGGTGAGCGCTAGCACGCCAGCGCGCATTAATAAGACGTCGAGCGACCTCGGCGCAGCAGGCAGCGCCCATGACAAACGAGGTGCGGCGCGCGTCTAGTCGGTCTGCACCTCGGCCCCGACAGTGCCGTACGCCTGCTCGCCGTGCATCCACAGATCGAACTCGCCATGCGCGTCGGCCGCCCAGAGCGTGCTAACTGGCTTGCATCCGCGTCGGCCCGGTTTCCAGACCCACTCGTCTAGGCTCGCGGCGCCGATGACGATGCGAGGGTCACGCAGCGTCTCGCGGGCGACGTCGCACATCGTGCGTGTGTCGCGCACGGACTCCTCGATGGTTTGAGCGTAGACGCGGATGTAGAATCGGCGCATTTCGGGGAGGGCGATGCAGTCGCGGGCGAGTGTCATGAGGTCGCGCGTGACGGCCTCGCCAGCGGTGGCGACGTAAAGGATGCCGAAGTGCGTCGCGTTCGGGAAGGCGAGCGGCAGCGCCGTACGCATGCTGGCTGGGTATAACCCGGTATAAAACGGCTCGTAGAATATATGGGTGACGGTTGGGCACAGATTGGCGCGTGGCGGCTCTGGCGTCGCTGGACCATGCTTCGAGATGAAGAGGCGCGTGATCCTCGCGGAAGAGTCGGGTATGCAGGGAACGAGATACAGTGGGCATTGCAAGTTACGCAAAAGCGGCAAAACGTCCAGGACATTTGTAAATTCGGACGTCGGGGGTTGGTAGCTGATGATGCTGAAGTTGACCACCGGAAGAGCTCCATCTCGCTTGGCTGCTGCGTAAAAAGCGCGCCACTGGGGCTCGGAGTCTAGATGAACCGTACGGTAGACTATAGGTGCCAGCCAGCCCTTGACGGCCGTCGACACGCGGAGGAGGGCGACGAGGTCAGATAGAGACCTAACAGCGGCGGCCTCAGCTGCGTGCTCCATAACTGTGCGCAGAAGCTCGACAGGGAGCCTAGGAAGATTACTCGAGTTCCGGGACGTTAGTTCGCCCATTGCGCGCGTCGATCTCCGCGGACTCCGTAAAGTAAGAGGTCAAGGGAGGTAGCGGTAACTGCCGGGTTGTTTCCTGCTCTTGAACCGTAACTACGACCTCGAAAATCTTCGGGTATCTCACGGGGTCCAGTTGAAGCTTATCTCTCAAATATCCGTACACAAGATAGGTGCTGCAGCACAGACGGTTAACTCGATGGACCAAATTCGCAATTCTCGAGCAATAAATCTCAATAAATACAGAATGGCTTACGTACGTAAAGTCTCACTTGCGCCTGCCACGAGGAGTTCCCTTGGACTTTCCCTCCGACAGAGGAACTTTGCGAGGGACCTTCTTCGGCGTCACGCGCTTGGGCGGAGGTGCAACCTGGCCTGGCTGTCGCTTAGGGCGGTTCTACACCAGATGCGTCAGCCCTTCAAGACGAATGCAGCTTTTGCAACGTACGGGTGGGCGAGGAAGAACTTTCTTCGGCTTGTCGAACGCTTTCGG